GTTATAAAATATCAGGCATACTCTTTTAATAGTTCAGTCCACTTAAAAAGTATTACCAAGTTACTGCTTCAGAAACTCATCATATTATCATATTTTAAATGAATTGGTCTGGTTTTCATGCCATAATGTGGTAACTTATAAATTTAGCTATGAAAGTAATTCTGAGATTAAGATTAGGAAATAAATTAAATACATAGTTAAAAACATTAAAGGTTTCACTTTCACATAAACTTAGCCTACCTTATTTTCCCGAAAAACAGGCAGTCTGTGTACGTGTCCCATAAGGAAGTTTGCAAAGCTATCCAGGGAGGTTAAAAAAAAAAAGGCATATCATTATGCTTCTTTGTCACAGGCTTTACAATCATGTATTCTAGGACAATTTGTTTTAAGTAAGAACCTGAGAACTTGCAAATGAACTTGCAAGTAAAGGTTGCTTCTAAATAGCTATAAAGACACCTCCAAATACATCAGTATAACAATATGAAATATGGCTTTTTCAAAGTTGTGATAGTATGTTACAAGAGTTAATACTTTACTTTCTATGGCTTCTACACCCAATGTACTCAAACACACTTCAGCCCAATACATTTAAATGACAGTCCTCTACTTACATATCCCCAAAAGTAAATGTCAAAGTTTCAACAGAAGAAAATACTTCTTGGAATAGATTATTTTTGTTGTCTTCATTAACTTCTGTAAAATTCACAGCTATAAGGAAAGGTTGGTTACAATAAATGATGGAGAAAATATTTGAAACTAGATTCATACAAAATCATTTAGTACTTTAAAAATTTACCATTACTTCATTAAAAGATTCAGAAACTGAAAGGGTTAATATACAAAAGCAATAGGATATTCAGTTATTTATTAAGAGAATCATAAAATATCAGTTTGCATGAAAGTCGTTGGCATTCCAGACTCCCTACTCCATGATTTACATAATTTTACACATATAAAAAGTGACTTAATGTGAAATCAATCTGTCTTGGAGTTGGAGTCCATTACACCAGACCTCTTCATGAAGAATGTTCTGCACTATTTTCTCTTGCTTACTGTTTTCTGGTGTTTTAAAAAACTGTTGAAGACATCGTGGCTCATGGAAATCAATAGGAAGCACATATTTACTATGAACCACCAATAACTAAAATTTTATATGCATATATATA